GCAAATATAAACTCCATTTCCTCCGTGCTACAAAGGCAATGCATTTAGACAGATGTTACTGCCTCTCCCCGCAAACCGTTCCTCACCAATATTCGTAGAGCATCGCCACTACAACGTTACGCTTTCTGCAACAGCTGGGTGTTAAGATTTAGGAACCAAAGCTCGCAGAAATAATCTGTAACATCGGAAAAAAAACGTGCTTGAATTTACAGTCAGCTTCTTACAGAAGCGATTTGACAACTGCAAGCACGGCAGAAGTAGAAAACAGTCAGAGAGGGGCTGGTTTCGGGGTGCGCCTCGGGGGTCTGGAAAGACGCTGTGCCGCTTTCCCTGGATTCCCACCTCCCGACCACTCCCAGCCCCGAGCCCGGAGTCTCTCCGCAGAGAGGAGAGCTCCCCCCGGCCGGTTAAGCGGCCTCAGGGCTGGTTTGGAGGGGAGCGCAGAGCCCGAGTGCCCCCCCATGGCCAGAGCCACGGCCACGGCCAGTAAACATCGCCCCCGAGAATAATTAAGAGGATGAGTTATGATCTGCCAAGTTTTATTTGCATGTCATTACATCTGTGTTTGGTAAGGGAGGCTTTCAACTGAAAAAAAAAAAAAAAAAAAAAAAAGACCAAACAAACAAACAAAAAAACACCCAAAACCCCCAAAACCCATAACACCACCCCCCCAAAAAAAAAAACCAGCCTTCAGAGACCAGACCGGATTACTTGCGGAAGAGGGATTAATCCAAGTTTAAAACACTTTACACCGTGTTTATGTCCTGACAAATTAAAATTGTTCTTTGGTTCTCAGTCGATAATGCATCTTTAATCTCCCGATTATTTTTGAAACAAGACAGCGCCAACAAGTCAAAGAAAAATAAACGGCTTGCATCAAAAATTGGGAATTACCCAGAAAGCTAGTGACCTCCACTGGCTGCATCCATCGCTACAGGACCACGAAATGCCACACACATCGCCTCCTGCCCGCTCTCGCGGAGAGATTCAGTCCTGACTTCTGATACCTTTTCCCCCAAGTAATTGTATAACGTAACGCGCTCTTTTCCGCTGCAAAACCCTAACTCTTCAAAGGAAAGTTGCATCTCCGTGCACGTAAATATTCCCCCGGTAAAGTAAATGAAGCCAGGAAAAAGTAGTTTTATAGCTCAGCGTAGAGCAGGACAGTTTATTTGCGGGAGAAGAGGAAGCTCTGGCATGCACCTCCGAACAAAAGGGAACAAGTGGTCTTTACTCGGAGAGCAGCTTCCTATTAAGACTCACTCCTTCGTACATTATGCCTTTCATCCCCACTCAACCACAAAATGATTTTGCTGTAGGAAATACAATGGCAGAAAAAGATTTACATTGAAAGAATCTTTAATAATAAACTGTTGCAGATCTGCCTACTTCCCCGTGATTTATAATACAATAAACATCGGATTCTATTAAGTCTCATGCACTGAAGACATGCACTGAAAAACCGAATATGAAAGCCCTCAATTCTTCCCGTCTCCAGTACCATAATAGTGAAATGAGCATGTGTAAATGTGCTAAGAGTATCTCTTTGCATCTTTTATAGCTTGTGTGTATTAATCTGTAAAGCTTATTAAGAAAGTCATTGCTATGCAAAGCAGCACCCAATCTCTTTCTCTTGCTTTTCAACAGAGCGCAGTGTTTAGCCAATAGGACCGGTCCCCTGCCCCTCATTCGGCATTCATAACATGCAACATTTGCACAATGTATCTCTCAAAGGCTGCTGAATAGAAAGCCTTAATACTCATGTAAACAACTGCAAACCAATTACTTAATGAATCAGGCCCACACATAATGAGGTGCCAGACAAAGAGCTATAAATGCATTTTTGCGCCCGAGCCTCCGCTTTAAAGTAAAATCCCTCAGCTGTAGTTTGGGCTTAACTGGCACATCATAATTATTGTCTGGAGGACATCAGAGGAAGCCATTTTTTTTATTTAGGTCCAGCAGGGTCTTCTGCGAGGTCACTCATCAGCTCAGTGACAAAACGGAGCAAAGAAGAATTTATAAAAAGTACCACGGCAGCGCTGCACGGTTATGTTTATTCTCAAGTAGTGGGTTTCGAGACCACTTGTAAAAGCAATAAAGCCTGAGAAGTGACTGCAGTAAGCGGAGCGCTTAAATGTGAGCGGCGAAGAAATTGCACGGCGTCCTGGCCGCAGACAAGTGGCCGGCCGCCCTCTCCGTTCCTCCGTCTTCCTCGCTACTTTCGCCGCTCTCCGTCTTTGCGGAGCTGATGCCAAGCGTCCAAAAGCGAGGGGTGTTTGATAAACGGCGTGTTTAGAAGGCTGCGTTATTTTTGACTCGTTTAGAAAAACTAACTTTAAGCCGTGGCAAGAGATTTTTTTTTTAAAGCAAAATCATCACGTATCAGCGCATGAAGTACGCTTGCTTCGCAGCACTGAAAGGCATGAAATTATAGGGCAGAGTGAATTATTTTAAAATCTATCGCAAATAAGAATTTGAAAGAAGAGTGAAAAAAATGTACACCATATGAACAGCATCTGAAAAACGCAGAAGTCGACGAACACATTATTAAGCAAGCAGTGCAACATCCAAGGGGGAAAAAAAGCTCGGAGACTTTTTTTTTTAAAAATTAAAAAAAATGATTCATTTTAAATTATACATATTTTATTCAGGTGCTTAGCAGTGATCCTTGTAAGCAAGTTCTTCAGGGCCCAATCCTTCTCTTGCTGCTGTGCTGGGCTTCAGTGAATGACTACAATTTAGCATTTAAAAAAAATTTATCTGTAGGAGCACCCTTGCATTTCATACCATTATGTAGTACAATTTGGAACATCATTCTCAGACAATGTTTCAGAAAATTTAAAAAGGAAAAAAAAGAAATTAAGAAAAAAAAAGAACACAGTTTGAACATACAACACTTAAGAATTAATCCTAAACAAAAGTGTGAATGCCATTCATCAATACTGCATTACAGCTTGTATTTACCGTAGTTGAAGAATTACAGAAATACCGTGATTTTAGCACAAAATGCAGAACGACACTTGCGAAACTGGAGCTGACCTCATCAGTAACAGCATAAAAAAAAGCTACCGGAAGATAGCGATGCCGTATAAACAGGAGGAGTTACAAATTTATCAAAATGCTTTAAAGTCTCCTCCCGAGTGCCATCGACGGCAGTTTTCAGACCAGGGGCCGCGTAGCAGCAGCACCCACTTGCTGGGCTGTTCTAACACGAGCAGATAAGGATCTGAAGCCCAGCCAATATTTCATGAGATGGCTGTATTATAGCCTATTTTCTGCCGCTTCCTGACCACTAATTTGATTGCTGCCGTTTGATTACCGTTACATGCCAATGAAGAATACAAGGAACATCCAACAGAACTGCTCAGGGACCCAAAGGGAACTGCTGCGGTTTTAAAAAGAAAAAAAAACCAAAAAACCACAAACAAAAAACAAACAAAAAAAGAAACACACCACACCAAACCACAACCAAGGTTTTTTTCTTTTTTCCTTTTTTTTTTTTTTAAAAAAAAAAAAAAAAGAACAAACCGCGCCCTTTAGGTACATGTAAAGCCATTAATTAAACATACTCAGTTTGAAAGCAAGAAAGGCATGTTATAAATACCCCAGTATCAAACATTAAAAAAAAACCCAAACCCCAAGCCCATGAAAAGCATTATCCAGTTACAGCTAGTTTACATCGCGGATACAGGGAGAAGAAACCCACCACTTTATTTCTTGAAGACTTTATGTTTTATGTCTGCCCCTCTCCTGACAACTCCTATTGTCTGGCCCCTGAGCAGCCCTACTGAGAGCAGCTGTACACGCTAATTTGTGGTTCACTGAGATGTCAATTGAGTCTTAAAATGAGAAAACAACAGCTGCAAAACAATACTTGGCTTTGGCACAAATATTTTCTAAGGTGTACCAAAGTTTAAGATGTTTTATTAGATAAACATAAATACGAACCTTAACCCTAGACCAAGTGGAAAAAATAAAATAATCAGCGCTTCAGTCATTTTCTGTGGGTGTTCCTCATTCTACAGAAGCATTTCAAATGTTAAAGGATTTAAACAACGTTACCTTGAGAAGGGAGGAGTTCTCTCATTCGATGAAGAACTAGTTTCTGAATGCACTTCTTGGCTTGCTTTTGCTTGGGAACCATTATCGCCACTGTCCCAACCTGTTAAGTAAAAACATGAAATATAAATTTTCAAATAATACCGGCTGGACCTTACCACAGCGTGCAGTCCCTAGCAGCACCACACTCATATTTGCAAATAGATGCACGTAATGGCCACACTCTTGGTTTGATGACAAAGTCTGGAGAGGAGCACGCAGTTATGGCATCTGCCTCAAGACACCTTGCTCACGGTTAGGTGGAAATTAGTTAAAGACACAAGAAAATAAGACTCCCTCGCTATCAATTAAGTTATCTAATGATTTCTTGTGAATAGTGAAATTTTTGCACGTTTTACCTCAATTTAGGGAAAAAAGGAGAATGCCAGCATTTGCTCTAAGAGCTGTATTGCATCATGGCAGCCTGAAGCAAAACTTAAAGGATTTCTGGGGTCTTTTTTTTTTTTTTTTAATCCCCAAGTTCTCATTTACTTTAGTTAATCGGGAAGCAAGGTTATTTTTTATTCTCCTTCCCCTTAAGTGTGTATTTTGGATAGTTACAGTTGTCTTAATATTATTTGATACATCAGTATTTTCAACCATTCTCTTGAAATAGAGCTGTGTTTGGGAGACGCAAATCTTGGGATTTTTATGACTTAAACCAGCCAAACACCCAACTGTTTCAAAATCTTTTATCCACGTTTTCGTTTCTTTCCTTTCTCCCCGCTCTGTGTATCTCATTTCCATTCTGCAGAGATTGATTTAAAATAAAAAAAAAAAAAAGAGGTAAATGAATTCATTCACTGGAATTGTACAATTGCTCATCTTTGTACTCATTTCCAAAGGACATGATATGCTCAAGTACAAATCCCACTTTAAAAGGCTCCTTTCAATATATAAATATATATATAGTGCTGAAGTTATAAACAAGCCCCAATTGTTACCAACTCCATTCCAACCCAGAACGATTTAGTATTTCTGTACATGTTGGACACTCCTCCTTTCTACCCGGCGTGTCACCAGCCCGCTCCAGCGGCTCACACCGCTCTGCTCTTGGAGGTCAGCGGCAGAAACCCTGCCCAGCCTCAGGCACTTCCGACAGCGCGCGAGGCGTCCGACCGAGCCGCACAGGAGCCGTGCTGGCAGCAGCACGCCGCTTTGCGGAACAAAGTCTGACCGCTTCCCAGAGAACGCGTGAAGGAAAAAAGAAAAATCAAGAACCGAGGGGGGGAAAAAAAGAAAGAAAAAGAAGGGGGGGACCCTCCTTTTCCTGTGATGTACATTGCAGAGGAGCAGGGACCTGTGGAGATCGTGGAGGACGTCCTGGATGCACGACCGACGGCAGCTCGGAGCTGCAGGCTGAGCGACGTGGCCATGCGCTGAGAAACCACGGACCACAAAGGAACGAATATTCACGCTTGTTTGTACATCACTTTGGGAAAGTTTGGAAAAAAGAAAAAAAAAAGTAATTTAATCTAATCAAGTCAGAACCCCCAGAAACTGCTGTTCACTCCAGCAGTAAAGCACTTAACATAGGTGTATGTCGTGGTTTAACCCCAGCCGGCGACTGCGAGCCACACAGCTGCTCGCGCACTCCCTTCCCTGGTGGGATGGGGAGAGAGTCAGAAGAGTAAAAAAGTGAGAAAACTCATGGGTTGAGATGAAGACAGTTTAATAACTGAAATAAAATAATAACAATAATAAAAGAATATCCAAAGCAGGTGATGCACGATGCAACTGCTCACCACCCGCTGACCGATGCCCAGCCAGTCCCCGAGCAGCGGCCCCCCTGCCAGCTCTACCCCCGTTCACATCACCATATGGTATGGAATATCCCTTGGCCAGTTTGGGTCGGCTCTCCTGGCTGTGCCCCCTCCCAGCTTCTTGTGCACCTCCAGCCTTCTCAGTCGGCAGAGCACGAGAAGCTGAAAAGTCCTTGATTTAGTGTAAGCACTACTTGGCAACAACTAAACCATCAGCGTGTTATCAACATTATTCTGTACTAAATCCAAACCACAGCACTATGCCAGCTACTGGGAAGAAAATTAACTCTATCCCAGCCAAAGCCAGCACAGTGTATTTTTCAGGGCTCCTCATGCACAGATTCAAACTACAACACACAACGCGGCCGAGATTACGTGCTCGCTCCTTGCCTGGGGGCAGAGCAGGCCTTGCTTCGGGAGGGCAGCCCTCTGCCTCGGGAAAGCCTTGCGCAAAGCGAGCTGTGCCCAGCTAACACACCACCACAGGCCACAGACTCTGCAAACGTTCAAGACCCAGTTACGCGTGCCCTCAGACGTGGCTCCGGCGCGTCCATGGCTCGCTCCCGGTGCGAAGGAGAACTTGAAGCAAAGGGCCCCCGCATGAATCGTCAGCTCTGGCCACCCTGCCCATTTCAGCCCTGCACAGAGGGACACATCCACCTCGTTAGTCTGTTAGCGGACTGAACGCTTTTCCTCCTTCCCACCACAACAGGTAGAGAGTTTCCAGAGCGGATGGTAGCTTCGGAGGGCGTTAGCACCCGGGTTAAGCAGCCGGATCCGATGCGTGCCTCTCAGAGCCTTCCCTTTGTTTCAGGCTAAGCCTGGGAACCCACACCTAGCTTGCGGTCGATGGGGTCCCCTGCAGCAGGAACACGTCTGCAGGCTCTGGAAGTGCTTCTGCCTGTGCAAGAGTAACTCTCTTGCTGTTGGATGCTCTTCCCGTCCCTCAGGGCAGCGACATGGAGCCCGCCTTTGATCCAGGCGTACCCACCACTCCTTTCCAGCTGGCACTTCAAAGTCCAGGTCTTTGCCAGCTCTTCCAAAACTCAAGCCGGGCCACTGTTGTCGCGCAGCTCTCCTTATGCCTTCTGCACACGTACCAGCCTCAAAAGACCATTCCCCCATGCTTTCTGTGCCTGCACTGGCTCCCCTTCCTTCACTACATCAAACAGTGACACAAACTACTTGTTCTTCACCTTTACGACCCTTCAGAGCCCAGCTTTGCCCTACCTGTCAATTATAATACAATGCTGGGCTATCAGTCCCCACTTCTGCCTTAGTTACACCAGACTGCCTTGCCAATTAGTCCAGTCGTTCCCCTCGAGCATCTTTGTGCTGACTTAGATCCTACGTACCCTACGGGAATGGGAGATCGGTTCTAGGAACTCCTAGAAGCTCCAGCTCACCTCCCTGGCAAGCCTGCCATGACGATTCACCTGGGTTACGGCACCCAGAAGCGACTGACAACGCATGAGCAGCAATGCTGCTTTGAGTGCTGAGCAATCACCCGGCTCTTACCTCCTCTTACCCCACTCATCCGCTTAATCCCCGTGCCTTCAACAACGTGTCCGCATTGTAAGTTGGCGGAAAGGAAGAGTCTCGGTTACAGACACGCAGCGCCGACAACAAAACCAGCCCAACCTGGGTGTGCGGCAATACTTGCTTCACCATCGCGAGAAAGCACAAGTGATCGGTGCAACGTACAGGGCAGAGAAGATAGAAGAAATACGCTGCTAGGGGAGAAAACCCTTAAGCACTTCGCTCCTGACAGAACTGCATCGTGCCATAAAACCCTCATGCAGATCAGTATATTTCCTTCATAAAACCGATCGTGGTGTTTAAGGTTAAATGCAATTTAGCTCAAAAAGATACTTTTATTCTGGGGTGTGTGCGCATTTCTGTTGTTTGTTTTGCCAGAAGCATCTACCTTGCTGGGTTACAACAGCCAAGCGCACCTTCCCTGTTGTAGGCTGGGGACAGCGAGGGGCATGCCGTGCTGAGACACAAATACCCATTTTTCCCTGAGCCCACAGCAGAACACGATAGCCCTGGCAAGAAAGATGCACTGAGTGGAGAAGAGGCAAAAAACCCAAACCAACCCATGGGTTTAGAGCACAACAGCAGCGTGCAGACTGAAACCCTTGGATAAAAGAATCGCCAGCGCCACAGAAGTCATTCAGCGGGGAGCAGCGGCACTGGGAAGCAGAAGCGGAGGCGAGAGGAGGGCTGTGGGCTGCGACAGTGCTGCTGGAGAGCAGCAGCTCCCGGCGGCCACCTCGCTAAAAAGCTCCTCTCCCTTCCCATCCAGCTTCGGTGAATTCTCGCTACACTGGGTGAAAGACAGACGCCATCTGCTCGATGGTCTCTTCCTAAACCGGTTTTTGGAAGAAGCGGCCTCACCACATCACCAGCTCTCATGTTCCGGAGACACCCCAGAAGCCGTGCAGGCACGCAGGGGTGAAGCTGTCCGGATGGGGTACTTTGAGCATCTACTCAGTCGGAACGGCCAGCCCGTGCTGCACAGACACAACTGAACAAGCTTGATAAAACTCAGTCTTTAAACTCAAACCGGGAGGTTAGTAATGGAAAGTTCTTAATCCAGTCGTTTGAGCAACACTGCGGCAGAATGGGAGCTGGCGTGTCCCAGGCGACGCAGCTCTCCTCACACCTTTCTCCCTATGCATTGTTCCTTCCACTCAGGACTAGCAAAGGATCTGCGATACCACTATTAATTAAAAACACTCCACACTTTTCAACTTTGAATTAATTGTGCAGTCGGCAATGGGTCAAAGCAGCTTTCATGTCAGCTTTTACAATTTTGTTCTGAACAAAATGGGTTCATTAGCCAACAATTCCAGGAAAAAGACGCCGTCATTGCATAATGAACCCCCATTATTTTGTTCTGCCAAACAGTTAAAGCGATCTTTAACCCAGAACATACTGTACCAGCACAGAACTGAAAAGAAGGTATTTTCTCCATGCCTTGCAGCACCTATCAGTTTATAGCCAAGCATAGCAGCTAAAAAAGTGATGCGATGTAATTTTCTGCAAATGAAGAGATAAGAAAACTCTTGGCCTTGTACTTCCAACATTTATATCTTGCTAATTGTATGCCCCTCTCACAGAGGAAGAGGCCCACACTTTTTAAACATCAAAACCAGCGCTAAAGCCCTTCACTGCAGAGTCCCACCACAGAAAAGTCATCTGCAGACACCAAATTGTCTTTCTAAGAACAATCCCCAAGTGCTTGACTCTGCCTGTCTGGAAATGGGAAAGGTAATTCATAAGGTTGCTGGGTTTTAAAACGCAGACTGGGAAAACAGAAATACTGCTGTGTTCATGCGTAGCTGTACAGTTTGTGAGCAAAACTGAGATCTTCAACCTAAGCGGCAGAGCACGTAAGCAAGCTGTAGAAGGAATACAGAGGTGCTACTCTACCGGGAGAGGAACAAGAGCACTTTGTACGCCACTCAAAAGCTATAAAGAGCTATCATCCATTATTTCCAATAACAATCAATAATCCCGTATGCAAACGGCAGTAGCTGGAGGGCAAAAGACCCCAGTGCTTTCGCAGTCTCAACCCAGGCACGTATCTGCACCTTCCCTACGCAAGTGAGAGCCTACACCAAAAGGAACTTTGCTTTTTCTGTGTACTTTTATCAACAATAAAATAGTTAGCAGCTTGGGTATTTCAGCTATCACTAGACTTCAAAGTCAATAATGCCTTGAAAGGAATATTATCAGGATCAGCTGAGCCTGCAAGCTGTGTAGTTTTACAGTTACCTTGGCAATAGCTATTGCATCCGCACTCAGAAGTCCTGGTAAGTCTGGGCTGCCATACTGCTAGGTCCTGTACCAAAATAGAAAGCTAACAATAATACCTGCCCAGAGGAACTTAAATCTGAACAAGCTTCTCCACCACATTAACACTAATTACCGCGCTCGCCGATAATCCACAAAGAGCCACGTGGGGTTAAAGGTGGGCTGTCAGCTGCCGTGCCGCTGCCAGCACGCAAACAGCCTTGGGACCAGAGGTGCGAGTGCCGGCTGTATACGGGCTCTTATACACGCTGTTTCCCTCACGATAAAGCACAAAACTTGCATACGGAGAGAAGACAAGGGCTACCTGCAAATCTGATAGAAGGGTGTGCTCTTTGGAGAGCAAACAGATGGGAAAAAAAAAAAATCTCCAAATTAAAACCTGAGCAGAACACTGCAGTAACCAGCATCTGGAAGTAGGTCAAACACCAACAGATATCTCCTGCCCTTTCCTTTAAATGAGGAAAAAAAAAAAGATAAATACTGTTATCATAGTAATATACCAACGTACAACGCTATCCTCTCAAGAGCAGACACTTGGATGACCAGTGGACTCAGGAAATCCCACTGGAGCAAGCCATCCAGTCAGAATACTTCTAGAAGATGCTGCCTCCAAAGATCGAAGAAGAATTTTCCCCCAGAATTCCTAACTATAAGATGACTCTGAGGTCTTTCAGGAACTTAAGTCGAGCAGCGTAAAACATCACCTGCTGAAGTACGCAATACAAACTAATTTAAGCAAAACGTACAATCTTACGCTGTCCCAAGGTAGTTCTGCCAGACCACAACAGCAGCAGCGATTAATCACGTACAGATGAACTTTTTTTTCTTTTTCATAACAGCAGTTGCGAATGGGTTGATATCAAATGAAGCGAAAAGTTGGGTAGACTTATTAATGCCTTTATTAGTGCACTCCAAGTGGCACCTCGGGAACCTTTTAACTTCAAGCTCAAAGGAGGACCTCACCAGGAAGGACGCGTGGGCGTGGGAAAAGTGTTGGCAGGATTATTGGCTCATTAAAGGTGACCTAAAAAGGGAAGCAGAATTGGATTTGTGCTCTTTCATGTTCCCTTATGATATATAAAGAAGGGCTAATTTTTTTTTTTTTTTCCCTTAAGAGGGTTTTTCCTCCTTATTTCTACATTAGAGATTTTATACCTGGAGAGTAGCTGGAAGGTGACATTCAAGATGTTGTGAAAGTGAAGCCTGATGACTGGAGAAGTAACGCCATTTTTATTCAAATGCTTCATAGCTCTAACGTCTATTTAAATCAAAGACACAAATGAAGGGTAGGGTGAGAATCTGGTTTTGTTAAAGATTTAACAAACCTGCCCCTTCAATAAAATCAGCAGTTTCCTACTCATAAATGAGACTCTTAAACAGTCATCCAGCAAAACAAAAAATAATGGATTTTATCCTTGCTTTTTAATCTCGCATTATTCGCCTACCTCGGCAACAGCAAAGGAGCCGAACAATTTCTTTTACATGTCTTCCCAAGATAAAAACACAAAGCGACCATGAAGAAAATGAGAACAGGTCCACATATCCTCCTCTATCCTCATATAACCCGGTATAAATGAGATTGCTATTAATAGCTAACTCCTCTCTGGGTGAGACTGTACACAAGACGTAATCCTTTTAAAGTCAATTATCACAACATGGCCTTCCACAAGCGTAGCGCAAGGCTCTAGGAAAGAAACCAGCCTGATGCTACGAGCTATGTTGCCCCCGCGCTCCCAGTTGACTACGGGTTTGGGAAAAAAAGCTCGCGCGTCCTGCCACGGATGGAAACGGCTCCGCAGGTGTTTCAGTCCGAGCCCCTGTTCAGAAGAGCTCCGGGTGACGTCAGTCCTCGCACGAGCAGTTTTGGGCACCGACGCAGGCCGTCTCGAGGGGACACCCAACACCGTGCCAGCTACGACTCTGCAGCCCTTTTCCCAAAGCCACACAGCTACCTCCTTCCTCCCCTACAGGCATTAAATTAAAAATGCAAATATTTCTGGAATATTTACAGAATATTGAATTAAAGAAATATTTTGGTTCTTTTTTTTTCCTGTAACAGAAGTAAAATAAACCAAAACTACAGAAGCATTCGTAAAGTGCCATCACAGAAGACTGCTTGGAAGCACATCCATCCGGCTCTCACAATGAAGTCCATCAAAACCCAAAAGCCCCAAGGCTTCCAGTGTTCCAAACCAACACTTAAAGCCCTTAAAGAATGCAGCAAATACTGAAAAAAAAACCAAAATTTGTACCCTTAGAAAAACTCATACAGCAAAATGATCGTGTATAGAATGGACGTTAAATATCAGTTCATCTAAAAACACAAAGCCAAACCCCCAAACGAGTCATCTGAGCCCAAAAGACAGCGCACAGAGATGCTGCCTCTACTTTAGGCACAGAACAATTTCAGAGTGCCAGGGCCACAGTCTCCAGCAAATAATGATGAGCAAAAAGGAAAAAAGCGACAGGCTGGAAGGGCGAGGAGCCAGAAGAGAACAAGCAGCCCAGGGAAGATCATGGGCTGAAGATGAATCGCATCTGAAAGGAGCAACTTTGCTTTCAAGTGAGATATGAAAAGCCTCACTCCTAGAGACAATGTGACCGCTGGCTACTGGAAACACGCTGCCACAACACAGTAAACAAAGACTCGGAAAGAAGGGATTTTACACTGAAGTTACTGGTTTCAGTGCTTAGGTTAGGGAGAGCTCCTCAGCATTTTCACAGATGGGAAGTATTAGTATCTGCATGCCCATTCAGTAAGAAAACTATGGGAGAAGTGGGGAAGGGGGATGTCCATCGTGGCTTGGCGTTTGACGAACTGACAGCTGACACAGCAGCCAGCCGCACACACCGTCGGGGTCCCCAGCAGGAAAAACCGCAACAGAGCATTCCCTGACAAAACTGTATGCAAAATCATAGCCAAAACCAGCACCGATCAGTCATAAAATTCAGGGTGGGGAGAAGCAACCCAAAAGCATTGGCAGCTACAGAGATCCAAACTCAAGAGCCAGTATTCTCCTTAAAAAAAAAAGATTAAAAAAATTAAAAAAATCCTATCAGTGATGGCATTGGTTGGAGGGAGTCATCATTCCCGACACTGTTCTTGCTGGCGCTCTCTGCAGTTTAGGGAACTTAAACCCCAGTCCTCAAATTTGAATCTTCTTAAATTAACAAAAATGAAACCAATCCCAAGATTTGCAAAATTTTAGATTAATTTTCAAATGAGAAGTGTGTTTTGTTTCAAGAAAAAGATTTCAGGGGCTTTTAATTCCTCTGAAAATCAATGCAATTCACGTTTTGAAATACGTTGCCATGTGCAACTGAAGGACATTTTAAGAAGGAAAATGGAAAGCATTCTACTCTAGAAAAAAAATAAAATCTAAGTTTTATTGGGCTAACGTAGGAATATTATTACTGCAGTATAATTCAGGAATACAAGAGGCACATTTTTATATTTCAGCTGCAAATTAGGCTCAAAAAGCAGCAGAGGAAAACCTCTGTAGAGAAATGAATTGCTCTCCGAAAGACAGGTTATTTTGAAGCCGTAAAAAAGCAGAAAAGCAACAGCGAGCGTTGCATAAGCAGATGCCCTCGCACCTTTCTGTCGGAGTACACACCTGCATAAATAAATATTTAGCCAAACATCAAAATTTATAAAGAAGCAGCCCACCACTTTACGAAATCAGGCAAAAGCAAATTGAGACTCGGCGCAAAGAGCCCTGCCCTGAATACTAATGCGTTATTGATACCCCAGGACCGAAAAGCAGCGACATCTCGGGACCCTAAGCAAGCCTCATACATCTGCTGCGGGAGGAGCTGGACTCGTCTTGATAAAACCTTATTGCTAAAAATTTTGTGTTATCAGGCGGCTTTTGTAACAGAGGCAAAGGCACGGCTTCCCGGCTAGCAGGGTTTTTCCCTGCGCTTATTCTAATGATACACATTCAATTACTTGAGAAAAGAAAAGAATCAAATCGGAAACATCTGTAGTTTGCCATATAATTACTGGATCTTCCCCATGGAGACTGACCTTTGTAACACTGATACCAGGACCTGAAAGGCTAAATGACAGGATATTCACATGGTTTAAATGTATAACATGATTACAAGGAATTAAATAGGCGCTGTTATTTTCCATCTTAGTTTATGTTAACATAAGCGCGGACTTTATGATCTTGCGTTTAATCTTTGCGCTCAGTATGTAGTAGCTGAATTTACTCACTATTAGTGGACCCAAACCACTAAAATGCCATGTGTTGATTATATAATAAAGTTGAATACTGGATCCGAGGTTAATATGCAGCCATTACTTTTACCTGTAATGGGAATCTTTTCGACCGCGCTTTCTTCCTTGCTCTCATCTTCACACCAGCTTGTGACTTCTGGATGTGAACACACCATAATGAAACACATTTCAAAGTTGCAGTGATCAGACTGGTTTGTTTGCTTTTAAGCCCTACTCCCTTTAATTTCTCACTTTTGTTATCTCTTGTTTATTGATCTAAACTATCCATTACCGTTCTTAAAAGAGGCGCCTACTGTGAACTTTCCTCCCATGCGAGGCTACCCTGCCTCTCTGTAGCTTCCAGAGAAAAGGACAAGCTAACCAAATGTCTTAAATAATTTAAGACCCGATGGGATTTAGGAAACAAACAACCCACAGTAACTCTGCGATCTCGTCCGGCAGCCCGACAGCAGCAGCGTTTATCATACCGACTGCAGAAAATTAGTTTAAATCAAAGTCTCCGTCTCCTCCACGGATAAAAGTCGCGTGAATTTAGGAGGCCTAAAGCAGTTTGTTTACATTTGCTGTGTAAAGAGCATTGCAACCTAATTGCCTGTCTCTTCCGGACTTTGATGTAAGGGATGCTCTGAGAGCAGACCAAGCAAGTTGCCGTCGCCGGTTACTATGCCGGACTAATGTATTACTTCCTTATCTAAAGAAATTAACTGGGGTTTCACAAAGGCGTTCACCTTCTAAGCTCTGAAACGGCACTGCGCACCTTTCTCAGCATGAAACCTTTTATTTTTGAAAATTTATTCTGCGGTCTGGCTTTATAATAAAAGGCAACAAATGCATCCCACGGTTTCTAAATGGTAGACATTTTTTAAATACATGCACACCTATAGATCCGTTTTTAATAACTGCCACAAGGCTTGCTTTTCTACTCCTGCAGAAAAAAATAGGCACCATAGGCATCACTCATTTTAAGAGGTAACAAGAACGACAAACGATACTGAGATATTTAGGAAAATCCCCCAAAGTTCATTGTAAATACACACTAATTCGCCAGTCGCTATAATACAGTCCCCTGCAGATTTGGCTAGAAAAGACATACATACAGAGAAGGACAATAACTTTGAGCGCGCAGCCGGACCTTGTAACACTTGTTACCTTGTTCTCCTGTGCCGGCGAGCCGGGGAGCGTGTTTTGCCTGCTTTATTTCCTCGCTGTCGTTTGGGATCGATGGCAAGCTGTAAGATGATTCATTACTCTGAATAGATGACCTATCCCCACACTTGTCTGGAGGGACCTCTCTCAACACCGGTAGAGCCTGTAGCGTTAAAAAAAAAAAAAAAATAGCCGCAGCCCTATTATCCTTCGTCTCGAGCGTTTTCCACCATACATTTAGGCTAATCTATACTTCACCATGTAATCTGTTTCCAGGGTGTTTTTGTTAGATGTTAAATTACCTCCGAGTTCAATCTGCGCTAGCTCAGGAATTGCATTCTGCCTTGAAGTAACACAAACTTTGAATTATTCTTTTAATCGCTAGGTTTTCTGGAAATTCTCAGTATTCCCTGCCTCCCACATTCAGGGTAAGCAAACCAGAAGGGTGTATCAAATACGCTGCAACAGCAACAGACTGAAAAGAAATCTCTCCGTTTGAGGCACGCAGCAGTGAGGCATGTTAACCCGCAGCGTTAGCAATAGCTGCAGCTTAAAACAACACCAAGACCGATGAACCTGGAGGCAGAGAACCCGGCGCACAGCTTGCCCGAGCTAGCCTCAGCCGGGCGCGGTTCCGATTTTAATCCTATTCCTGCACATTTGTAAAGTTTGTTCTCTCCTGCCTGTGCATGCAGCCCTCTGCAGCAGCACTGTTCAGACCTCTGTAGTTAAACGTATTTCTGACGCAAAGAATTAAGTTGGAAGCCAATACCTTCATAGGGAGCTGAACGTACCACAAATACGGCCGAGTTAAAAGCAGGCTTAAAATAAAGCAAGCACTTCTTAAGTTATCATTGACCTGTATTAGAAGTACTGTGTGTGGCTTATAAAGCCCTTTCTGAGAGCAGGAGAAATCATCCTTCCTGGCATTTATTATTTCACAAAGAGTGGCAAAGGCTTTCTGGGCATCCTTCCTGTCTCTCCTTTACTTGTAGGGTGTTCCTCTCCATTGTATTTCCTCGCACAAAATATGGACTCAAGTCTTTAAAAATCTACTAGATTTTCTGCTCTAGTTATCTGATTGTTTCATAAAACAGTTGTTTCATAAAACAAAAAGCCTTCAGCGATGAGGACCAACATCTTGGAGAGAACTCCAGGTTTTGTAACTTATTTTATACATTCTGACCTGAGAGTATGGAATAGCTTCAAGCCAAAACATTTTAGACTCATGAAAAAATGTTATTCTCCTGCATCTGGTCCCTCCTCATTAATCCATATTTATTCAGGAGCCCAGAATGGCAACTTTTCAGTCTTAAGCAAGTAGCTTGCCAAACTTTTTTTCTTTCTATTAAACTTACATATGGGAAGTCTCCATACAAAACCAACAGGAGCAAGCTGCTACTTCATCCAAAAAACAGGGATTTTAAGTCTCATTTTCTTAATGTCAAGAATGCCCTAAATCACAGGCAGGATTGGGAAATCTTTACTGTTGAAGGAAATTAATTCCCATGTAGCAGTTTACCCCAGTGGGGATTTCTCACACTGGAAGTACTTTGCTTACCTATTTGCAGTATCATTCAACATCCAAACAGGCGTGAACCACCACCAACACATACAAGCAACCAGTGTACACTCTAACACCACAATTAATCCAGGCAGAAGGAAGGTTCCCACCAGGAGAACCAAAGCTTGGCGTTCAGAGTCACAGGGACCAAGGCGACTCCGCGGTGGCCAACATCTGTCAGGGCATGAAGACATCTTACGTGCTGCATGAGCCACGCGGGTCTTATTCTTACAGGAGCATAACTTGGCTGAAAAGGGCACCGGGTTGCACAGCTTCCGCAGCCAAGAGGCTATCCCACTGCCCAGAGAAGGCGTTCCTACCACGCCAGCTCCCTACGGCTGTCCCACGTCCACAGGAACAACACCCAGTGTTCTTAACAAGGGCAACGGGAGAGATCCGTGAGAAAAGCTGATAGTAGGATGTAAGAGAATAGAAGACAGTCATAATTTAGTGATAGAGATGAGAAGACAGGCAGGCGGACAGACAGACTCTGTGGACCACTGGAACGGGCGAGATGCTGAAGGCACTGGAGGAGAAGGTGGACCCGCTGCTGGTTGTCACCAAACCTCTGCGGACCGCCAGCGCTGATGGGGACAGGGCTGGCAGACTTGACAGGTCTGTCTGTACAGTCAGGAGCTCACGGCTCCCTCCTGCACCTCCAGCCTGCTGCCTGGCCACGCAGTACCATCATCCGGTGGCGTTCTCGGCCGATCTTTAAGCCCTCAGAGAAAGAAGTCATCAACACAGGCCAAAAATTCAAATTTTGGAGTCGTAAATATTTAAGATCCTTAGGTTCTATTGCTTGTAAGTTCACTACTACATTATATACATCTTTACAGTGAAGCAACTGTTCCTGTACACGCACGTTCTGTAATTTATATTGATCCTGTTCTGTGCAACCTGCTTGGAAATAAGGTGTTTCAACGTAGGGGATGCATCCTGGCATTACAATTAATTGACTGGATCCACTTAATAGGTAATATAAACGTTAAGTGCATATGTGTGGGCCACAGTAACATGTAGCAATTGACAGATTATTACTGCATATATTCACCCATAAAGCTTGTGTTAGTGAGCTTTGACTTTGTAGAAGTTTTTACATGCAATTACAGATTTATGTACGGTATTTGTTTATCTGTCACTAGCGCAATGATACATTCCTTGGTCATCTCTTCTGCTTGCCTGAATGTTTTAAGGACAGAATACAAATTACTTATCCACATACAGAAAGAGAAGTTACCCTGGCTATTATTGAAAGCATACAACTAAAATATTACATCTTCATTATTTGTTTCAAGTGCTATTAAAACTAGAATATAGCAAAGCAGTTCAAAATGCTTTTTAACTTCTCAGTAAAAAGTAGAGGAAAGATATTTTTTGCCAAGATTTTTTGGAGCAGAGCACGGGGCCAGCTCGTCAGCAGCGGGCTGCCTGGCAGAGCTCCCAGCTCCCGCCGCAGGGGTACCGGTGCGGAGGCAGCCGGGACGTCACCCCGGTGCCAGAGTCCCCGCTCTCCTGGCACGGCTGCAGCTGGAGGCAGCGGGGACCCGAGCCCTGCCCTCCCCACGC